GTGTCCTCTCGCCCACCTCCAACCCCTCCCCACCTGCAGAGAGACGTCAGGTGACGCACGTTGGAACACGCGACAACGTCCACACATTTACATACGACAGCTCCTTTGTATATTGGCACACAGCTGTGTGTGTGGGTTGGGTTGGGGAGCGGTGGCATAGTGGTTAGCGCAACGCTGCGCTGCGAACCCGGCGAAACGAGTTCGTATTCGGCCACCAACACCCAGTGGCGATTATCTGAATCGGTCCTGGGCCTCCCCTAGGTCGACTCAGCCTCAAATGAGTACCTGGTGAGGTGCGTAAAAAAAACACATCGGCACTGGAGAGACAAAGGCGGCCGGGCGTGGTGGCTGGGCCACCCACCCCGTCATGTGCCGTGCCGGCCTTCATAGGTCCTCGCTAACAGCACTTTCCCCAACAGTCTGTTGAGGCTATCCGTGGGATCTTTGTCTCTATCGGGTTGGGTTGGTCGCGCTCCTCTATCGGATTTGAACCCAGGCGGTCCGGACTCCGAGGCCGCGGTCTCAGCTCGCTGAGCCAGCGCCGTAGGTGGCCACGTCACTGCAATGGTTCTGATCGAGTGGTTGGGTGAGTGGGTGAGTGGGTGAGTGGGTGGGGGAGTGGGTGAGTGGTTGGGTGGGTGAGTGGTTGGGTGAGTGGCTGAGTGAGTGGTTGGATGAGTGGGTGGGTGAGTGGGTGTGAGTGGTGGAGTGAGTGGATGTGTGAGTGGTGGAGTGGGTGGCTCCGTGAGTAAAGGAACAGGTGAGTAGGTGAGTGAGTGGTTGGGTGAGTGGCTGAGTGAGTGGTTGGGTGAGTGGGTGGGTGGGTGAGTGGGTGTGTGAGTGGTGGAGTGAGTGGTGGAGTGAGTGGTGGAGTGAGTGGTTGGGTGAGTGGATGTGTGAGTGGTGGAGTGGGTGGCTCTGTGAGTATATGAATAGGTGAGTGGGTGAGTAGGTGAGTGGTTGGGTGGGTGGGTTAGTGAGTGGCTGAGTGAGTGGTGGAGTGGGTGGGTCTGTGAGTAAATGAACAGGTGAATAGGTGAGTGAGTGGGTGAGTGAGTGAGTGGGTGAGTGGTGGAGTGAGTGGTTGGGTGAGTGGATGTGTGAGTGGTGGAGTGGGTGGCTCTGTGAGTAGATGACTAGGTGAGTGGGAGAGTAGGTGAGTGAGTGGGTGAGTAGGTCACTGTAATCAAACTTTGAGGTTATTCACGTGCATTTTTCGCGTGTTTACGAATTAAGAAAACATGCTACTATGTTTCCACCTGTTTAACAATGTTTAAGTAAAAAAGTAAATAAAGTAAAAGTTGATGTTGAACCCCCGCACTTCTCATTTAACGACTGCACAGCAGCGAGCCTCCGCATTCCTCGGCAAGGTCGAATCAACAGGATCACAATAATCACCGGCCAAGGTCAATCCACTGATGGATGATTTATTTATACACGTGAGAGCTGTCGCCACCTCTCACGGTCCTTAAAATGAACAGCAACATCAAAATGCGGGCAGCAAATTGTTGAGCCAATTAATCACTACCAGTGGTAAAATGAGTTATTGTTTAATTACATTATTACACTTCGAATTCGGACCCGGGTCACTGAGCTTCAGAGCCAATTTCCAAATAAGCGATCTCTGTTTAAAAGAGGGCTTCAAAACATCGACAGCGACGTTGTAGAACAAAAACTGAGCCAAGTTCTGCATGCTGTGCTTCATCCGTCAACTTGCCTGTTGGTTTACGCATTGAAATCGTGGAAGTGAGAGCCGCAGGCAGCAGATGTTTAATGCCGCAGGTGTACGGCCACATGGCAATTTAGTAACATTTGAAAATGCAAATCTGAATATTTAGGCTGGAGGAATCCGATGAGCTATGAAGCTCTTTTTAACAGATGTCCAGTAGGGACACGGGGTAAGGACGGTACAACAACAAACAACACAAAAAACATGACCGTAGTGCCAAGTATAAGAAAGGTAAACTAATCACCCAAACACATACAAATACAACTAAACCATCCTGATTCTACCGGGCAAAGCCCACTCATGTATTGGCTTATTTTTCAGAAGACACCTGGCCACAAATGATAGCTCAACAAAGTGGCCCATCATTTGGACATTTATAGCACCAAAATAATGTTAATGCATGGAGGGAAAAACCGGAGGACCCGGAGAAAAAAAATTCACACGACCAAAGGGATTGAGACACGCACACTCCAAATATACAGCAGCAGCAGGCGTCAGGGTCGGGATCGGGATCGAACCCACGACCGCCTGTATACCAGGCGAGGTAGTTAACATTTCCTAGCCACCGTGATGATGATAATGAGAGAGACACGCAAACTCCAAATATACAGCAGCAGGCGTCAGGGTCGGGATCGAACCCACGGCCTCCTGTATACCAGGCGAGGTAGTTAACATCTCCTAGCCACCGTGATGATGATGAGAGACACGCAAACTCCAAATATACAGCAGCAGGCGTCAGGGTCGTAATCGGGATCGAACCCACGACCTTCTGTATACCAGGCGAGGTAGTTAACATCTCACCACTGAGGCGACCCTTTAATAAATACATTATCTTAGTTCTAATTGCATCATTTCCCAATCATCGGAAAGGCAGTTAAACAGCACAAACAGTCCCAGACCACAGCAAGACAACACGCAGTCCCTCAATAAGAATTGTACATGAAAATTGAATTCTCAATCCATTGTTGAGGATTCAATGGCAAATGTGGCTGTATTCAGATGTATGATGTTAGGGGACCGTCCATAAATGACGTCACGCAGCTTGGGGGGGGGTCAGACATTTGTGACGATGTGTGACGAGGGGGGGGGGTTAGAAATGTGACGTCACATCAAAATGCGCAACTTTAAATAAATATAGACAACGCGTTCTACTTAGTTAAATAGACTTTGTAATAAATGTTTCCTCCTACAACATCAGAGTGCAGCGCCACATTAAACACGCACTACAATGACAATAGTTTTAAGCGATTTGAAGCATTTTTTATTTGGGGGGGCAGAGCTTTGTGACGTCATATTTGAGGGGGGGGGGGTCTGACTTTTTGTGACGCCGTGTGACGAGGGGGGGGGGGGTCAAAAATCGTCCAAAATCGCGTGACGTCATTTATGGACGGCCCTAAGGGAGGAAACAAGGTTGTTGCAAAAAAAAAACTCTACATTATGCATTCTAAGTTTATATATTTAATGTATGAACTTGTAAATAGAAGTCTATATCACATTATGTATTCTGTGGATCTATATCCTAACACCTATATAAATAAATGCCTTCTTAAACTGTCTCAAAGCCCTCTAGGGTACTTCCGGACAGGGTAGTAAGCTGATATTGGGTACATTGGTAGCTTTTAGGACACAAATCATAGGAAAAATCAGGAAATCCGAGATTTTTCATTTTAAGGCATCACAATTTTTAAGTCTCGAAAAAATGTTTGTGCATGGTGTAATTCAGAAACCTTTCAAAATATAAAATTGCGGGTTTTTTCGTTTGATAGAGCGTTACACAGCAAATAAAGTTAAAGCTAGAACCATTGGTGATATTTCGGATTCAAGTGGGTTTGAACGAAAAAAAATACGCATTTTATGTTCAAATCTGAATAAACTAAAACGGAAAAGATAGGAGCTCCCCCTCGTAGAGTATTAAGTTCATAAATGTGTGTTCTTTTTAATACGAAAAACAATGAAATCGTTCAACTGAGCGGTTTCCAATAGGTACGTCTTTAAATATAAGAAGTCGTCATCGATTTTTGTGGGAGGGAAAATACAAAATTTCGTAATAATTCGCGTCTGATCGTAGATAAAAATTGTAAAAAAAAACATATCAGTTGTGGTGGGTTTTACGGACCAGTTTATTTTAAAATTAAATCTTTAAACTTCTTCTTGGTTCTTTCGGTAAAGTCACGTAGAATGGAAATAATAAAATAAATAAAATAAAGCAATAAAAGGTTACAATTTTATTATTTTCATTAATAATAAAATAATAAAAATTTAACATTGTAAAATTCTATTATGTTTCATTTTTATTATTTTATTATTTCCATTCTACATGACTTTACCGAAAGAACCAAGAAGATGAATCCCTGCAGTCACGAAAGAAGCTTTAAATCGAAATCTTTAAACGTGTTTCAGCCCCTAGGTAAGATGGCCGCTCGCATTGCACACTGAGCGCGTCACGAGCACTTCCGGTGTGAAGCCCCGCCCACCGCAGGTCACGTGCTCGCTTCTAATCGCTGACAACAACAACAACAACAAAAACTCGACACGTTCCGCGTCAATAACGCTGTGGCTTTAAAAATAAAACTAAAAATATCATAGGCAACGTTTCACAGCACACTTTGCGAAAACGGCCACGGGCGAGTCCATTGTGCTTAGATTCGCGGGGGTGTTTTGACTGCGTGGTTCAACCAATACGTGCCGGGCGAGTCCATTCCGGTTACAATCGTAGGGGGGGGGGTTTGATAGCAGACGTTACGCAAGGGACGGGCGATTTCGTTCCAGCAAAAATAGGTGTGGATAAGTTTTAGACACGTGAGTGGTTGTTTACTCATTAACATACACCTACATCATAGTGGACGAGTCCATTTCAAAATAGGGATGGGTAAGTTTAGACACGTGAGTGGGTTTTTACTCATTAACATAAAATAATAAAAATAAAACATAATAAAATACAATTCTCACGACGTTTCGGCCACAACGCAAGCAGCCGTCCTCAGGTGAAGAACAGGTCTGTCGGAAAGACAGCGTCTGAATCAAGAAGATGAATCCCTGCACTCACGAAAGTTTTACATCGAAATTTAACATAAACATACATTATAGTGGACGAGTCCATTACAAAATAGGGGTGGGTATGTTTTGGAACACGTGATTGGCTGTTTAACTCATTAACATAAATTATAGCGGGTGAGTCCATTACAAAATAGGGGTGGGTATGTTTTGGAACACGTGTTTGGTTGTTTACTCATTAACATAAATTATAGCGGACGAGTCCATTCCGCTCACAGGAGAGAGGGGTGAGTGTGTTTCTTCCTGTTGGTAGCGTCAACCCCCCCAATCAGGCGGTGGACACGGGGGTTAGCGGACCACGCAAGGAGAGAGTGCGTTGGCGCTGAGAGGTGAGAGATGCGGACGGTGCAGTCTGTAGTTTAATTGTGTTATTTAGTTTTAAACTATGAAGAAGTTTACACTTTGTGTTTCGTAGAACCACGTTTATTAAGTAATGTGTGCGTGTGTGGGGAGCGGTGGTGCAGTGGTTAGCGCTGTGAACCCGGTGACGATTATCTGAACCGGTCCTGGGCCACCTCGCCTAGGTCGACTCGGCCTCAAATGAGTAACCCGGTGGGGAGACAAAGGCGGTCGGGCGTGGTGCTGTCCACCCAAACCCCCCTTCGTGTGCCGTTCCGGCCTTAATAGGTGCTCGCAAACAGCGCTTGGCCACACATGTTGATGCTACACGGGGGGGGGGGGGTGATCTTTGTGTTTGTAGGGGTTGAGTTGAACATCGCAGGGTCGTGATGGAGGCCTTCGTCCAGCAGTAGATCGATCAAGGCTGATGTATGACGATTATCTTTGACGATTTCCATGTGAAGAGTGAAACCCGCGCGCCACGAGGTCGCGTCCACTCCAGTGGGATCGCACCCAGACGCGGCCTTGACCTTCATCCCCCATTGCCGCCCTCTCAAGCACAAGCACAACCACAACAACTACCACAATTACAACAACAACCACAACAACAACCATCACAACAACCACAACAACAACCACAGCTACCACAACAACAACCACCACAACAACAACAACCACAACTACCACAACTACTACAACCACCACAACAACAACCACCACAACTACCACAACAACCACAACTACCACAACAACAACCACAACTACCACAACAACAACCACCACAACAACAACCACAACTACCACAACCACCACTACTACAACAACCACAACAACCACAACTACCACAACAACAACAACCACAACAACAACCACCACAACAACAGCAACAACCACAACTACCACCACAACAACCACCACAACTACCACCACAACTACCACAACAACAACCACAACAACAACCACCACAACAACAACCACCACAACCATCACAACAACCACCACAACAACCACAACTACCACAACAACCACCACCACAACAACTACCACCATCACAACCACCACAACAACAACCACAACAACCACCAACACCACAACAACCACCACTACTACACGTGTAGTAGTAGCTACTACTACACCTGTAGTAGTAGCTACTACTACACGTGTAGTCTTCTTGGTTAATCTTCTTGGTTCTTTCGGTGACTTTACCGACAGAACCAAGAACATGTGTGACCTGTTCTCACACACGTGTTGTGACCCCCCCCCCCCCTTGCGTTTCAGATTTTTCCTTCGGAAAAAGAGAATTCTGATCGTAACGCCGCTCTGACTACCACCCACCTCTCCTGGCCATCCATTCACTTCAACGTGTGTCCATCACGCGCAGACACGCACAGGTAAGATGGGGCTTATTTGTACAATTCACAATCGCCGGCACTTTTTGTGTATGGCTCCTGTTACCATCTTGTATGGCTCCTGTTACCATCTTGTATGGCTCCTGTTACCATCTTGTATGGCTACCGTTACCATCTTGTATGGCTACCGTTACCATCTTGTATGGCTTCTGTTACCATCTTGTATGGCTCCTGTTACCATCTTGTATGGCTTCTGTTACCATCTTGTATGGCTCCTGTTACCATCTTGTATGGCTCCTGTTACCATCTTGTATGGCTCCTGTTACCATGGCTCCTGTTACCAATGACGACGATGACAATGACGATGACAATGACGACGATGACAGACCTGTGCAGTTCGATGAACGTGATGATGAATGATGATGATGATGATGGTGTTACTGCACAGGTATAATGAGGCCTTTAAATCAGTTCGAAAAATCCGCGATGCACTGAGGCCGCGAAACTTGAACCGCGAAGGGGCGAGGGATTACTGTGTATATATATATTTTATCATGTCCACCCACCACCACCTGACCAAACCTCGCTCTCCTCCTCCCAGGCTCCCTGGCTGCTCGTCCACTCCAGTCATGCCCGCCCCATGTCGGCGCCGGTGACCTGCCCCTCGCCGCCCAATACCCGTCACCGCCACACGCACGGTGCGAGCCTGGCACCACGATCTGACAATCCGGCAGCGGAAGCCGCCATGTCCCAGGGCGGCGGCACGGCCGCCTTAAGCTCCAGCGGAGCGATGTATCACGTCGTTCCTGGCGGCGCCGGGCCCACAACCGTTCCCGCCCTCGGCAAGCGACGCCCGCCGTCCCGGCAGCCTCGCGTGTGCGTGGCGCTGGCGGTAGGGGCGGTGGCGCTGGTGGCGGTGGCGGTGGCGACGTGGGTGATGTACGCGGCGTCGGTGCGTGCCGCCGGGGAGCGCGCCGTGGGGCGGCTCGTGCTGTCCACGGGGGGCCTGGCGCTGCGCGGCGCCGGCGCCGGCACCGGTACCGGCGACTCGAAGCCGGTGTTGAGGGTCGCCTTCGGGAGGCAGCGGGCGCGGGTGACGCTGGGCACGCTGGGCTCGGGCTGCGTGCACGGCAGCAAGCGCCACTCCCTCGACGACGACGCCGCCGCCGACGACGCCGACGGTGGCGGCGAGGTCAAAGGCGACGACGGCAGTTACAGCTACGACGACAACTGGCCGGTGGACGACGGCGAGTGCGTCCACGGCGAGAGCGCCGACGCCAAGGTCCTGGTGAAGAAGATCGACGTCGGCGCCGCCGCCGCCGCGGCCTCCGCCGCCGCCGCCGCCGCCCCCGGCAACGCCGGCGAGGCCCCCAGGCCGCCGGCGGAGTGCTACAGCGTGACGTGGACGGCCTCGCGTCCCGGCGTGGCTCTGGAGGACTGCGTGGTGCTGGGCGACGCGCTCTGGTACGGCGGCGCCCAGATGAGGGTGCAGCGCTGGCCGCTGGAGTTCGGCAACGCCGGGCGCGAGCCGGTGGCCTACGTGCCCGAGGACATCTACTCCTTCCGCGATCGCTTCGGGGCCGTCATGGAGCGCTACTGGCTCTCGTCTCGCGGCACCTACATCTTCGTGGCGGACGACGTCCCCCTCTACGTGAGCTGGTCCACGGTCGGCGGCGGCGCTAGCGGCGGCGAAGAGAAGGCGCTGTGCCTGCGGGCGCGGTACGGCCCCGACGGTCCGTACTGCGCGCCGAGCAACGCCTCGCGCGCGTTCCTCTCCTACGAGGTGTGCGTGGCCGGCGACGCGCGGGCGGCCCACGCGCTGGCGTCGTCGCGCCACCTGGGGTCTCCGTCGGCGCCGCCGGACGAGCGGATGGTGCGCTGCCCCGTGTGGTCCACCTGGGCGCTGCACAAGCGCCGGCTCAGCCAGGCCAAGGTGGTGGCGCTCGCCGAGGCGGTGGTCCGACACGGATTCAACCACAGCCACCTGCAGGTGGACGACGGCTACGAGGCGGCGGAGCGCTACGGCGACTACGGCTTCGACGGCCGCTCGTTCCCGGACCCGGCCGCGATGGTGCGGGACCTCCGCTCGCGTCTCGGCTTCCGCGTCACGCTCTGGGTGCACCCGTTCGTCAGCTACGACGCCGAAGCCTTCCGCGCCGGCGTCGCGAAGGGGCTGTTCGTTCGGACGACGGCGTCCAACGCCGTCGACGCCGGCAGCCTGACGCCGGCGCTGGTGCGGTGGTGGCGCGGCGTCGCCGCCGTCCTCGACGTCACCAACCCGGCGGCGGTCGACGCATTCGTGAACCGCACGCTGCGCTCGCGCCTCGCCGACGCCCTGGGCTTCAACTCCTTCAAGTTTGACGGCGGCGAGGCGAGTTACCTCCCGCGCGGCTGCGCCCGCACGCACGCCGCGCTCGCCAACCCGGCGTGGTTCTCGGCACGCTACGCCACGCTGGCGCGCCACTTCGGCCCGCTGGCCGAGGTGCGCGTGGCGTTCCGCACGCACGGCCTCGCCGCGTTCGTGCGCATGGCCGACCGGGACTCGGTGTGGGGGCACGAGCTGGGGCTGCGCTCGCTCATCCCGACGGCGCTCACGTTCGGGCTGCTGGGGTATCCCTACGTGCTGCCGGACATGATCGGGGGCAACGCCTACGGAGCCGGCGGCGCGGCGCCCTCTTTCCGCGCCGGCGTGAAAGAGGCGGGAGCGGCGGAGCCGGGAGAGGAGGCGGACGGAGGCATCGTGAAGCCGGACCGGGAGCTGTACATCCGCTGGCTGGAGCTCAGCGCCTTCATGCCGGCAATGCAGTTCTCGGTGCCCCCGTGGCTCTACGACGAGGAGGTGGTCGCGATCGCGCGCAAGTTCACGGCGCTGCGGGAGCAGGTGGTGGCGCCCGTCGTGATGGCGGTGGCACGGGCGGCAGTGCAAGCCGGAGGTACCGCCGCCGCCGCCGCCTCTTCCTCCAATAACAGCAATGACGTCGGTGGCAGGGGTACCACCTCGTCGTCTAAATCGTCGCCAACGTCGTTTTCCCCGCCGACGCCGATGATCGTCCGCCCCGTGTGGTGGGCGGCGCCGCGTGACCGCACGGCCCTCCGTCTCGACTCGGAGTTCCTGCTGGGCGACGCGATGCTGGTGGCGCCCGTGCTGGAAGCCGGCGCCCGCGCCAGGGACGTCTACCTCCCCGCCGGGACCTGGTGCGCCCGCATGGGCGGAGGCGGCGTCGCGAGCGGCGGCGGGAGGTGCCATCCCGGACAGAAGTGGCTCCGCAATTTCGAGGTGGCGCTGGATGAGGTGGCCTACTTTGTCAGGAAGTCGTAGAGCCCACGGAAGGTTTTGTCGGAGTTTGTTTCAGAAATTTTTATTTTATTTTTATTTCAACGAATGGGAAATGAACTCGAGTGTCGGTTGGCATGGTCATCGCACTGCACTGTGAAGTTGGCGACCTGCAGTCTGGGCGCATGACGACTAATGCAATTTTACAAGTTGCGTGGCAAACAGGGATGTCCCACCTCCTCGCCCGCAAAGCCTCGCTCTCTCCCTTGGAACTGCAGACGGCAACACGGCAAACTGCTGTCACGCTCGCAGCCGATTGGCTGATGCTGTGGGATGACGTCATCCCTCTCAACCACTGCTGCAGTGTTGCAATCCCGCTGGGACGTGCAAAGAACACGTTTTTACGTACGCCGTTTGGGATGTTACGTACTTTGATGTGCTTAGGCCTCCCTGAGTTCCATTGGCAGCCACAAGTAACGTCAGTGGTTGAGCGATATCTGAACGAATCATCCGCCACTCTCACGGACCCGCACTGCTAGGCGTGGTGTAATATGGTCAGACAGCTACTTTGACCCGCAAGGAGCGGGCAGGCCGTCATCCAGCAAAGGGCTTGGCAAGGGGCTGGAGATGATCATCGCGTTACGATCTGTCGTTTGGTTTCTGAATTTACGACTGGAATTTAGCAAGTTATTTGAGTGGCTTGACAATCGACAAGCATTTCGAAATGTCCTCGTTAATTGTTTGTGTTGCCTTATTACTTGTATATGTTCTGTAACTTAAATGGGATACTTGAAAAATAACCAAGAAAGATGTTTCTCAAGGATTTGGCAAATTAGTAATCGAGCTTAAACAGATTGTGAATATAACGGATTCTGATTTCTATTTCTCTTTACATTAATTTGATTAAAACTTACATGTCATTCAATACTCGCAAGGAGTTGTGATATGACCTGGAAAACATCTTTTTGGTTCTTTCGGTAAAGTCACGTAGAAGGGAAATAATAAAATAATAAAAATAAAACATAATAAAATACAATTCTCACAACGTTTCGGCCACAACGCAAGCAGAACAGACCTGTTCTTCACCTGAGGACGGCTGCTTGCGTTGTGGCCGAAACGTCGTGAGAATTGTATTTTATTATGTTTTATTATTGTATTACTCCCCTTCTACGTGACTTTACCGAAAGAACCAAGAAGATGAATCCCTGCAGTCATGAAAGCTTTAAATCGAAATCTGGAAAAATTGTGAAGCACTTCACTGATTATAATGGACTAGCTGTACTACCCGGCTTCGCCCGGGACTTGTATCCACCACGACCGGCCGCCTTTGTCTCCCCAGTGGCGATGTTAATACGCCACACCAGTTACTCGTTTGAGGCTGAGTCGACCTAGGGGAGGTTCAAATAATCGTCACCGGTGGTGGCCGTGAGCGGGAATGGAACTCGGTTCGCCGGGTTGGTAGCGCAGCGTAGCGTTAACCACTACACCCACCGCTCCTCACACACCACACACGCACAGACACACACGCAGACACACGCAGACACACACAGACAGACACACACACACACAGACACACAGACAGCACGCTAACCACTACACTACCGCTCCCCACACACCACACACGCACACACACAGACACACACACACAGACACACACACACAGACACACACACACAGACACACACACACAGACACACACACAGACACACAGACAGACACACACACACAGACACAGACAGCACGCTAACCACTACACTACCGTTCCCCCTACACAACACACGCGCGCGCGTCCATAGGCACACATACACGCGCTTGCTGCAGACACACGACTGTGAGGGTGCGTACGCCAGTAAACGACTGAAATAATAAAGCGGAAATGCTGCGCGAGGAACGCCTTAGAGCTGCAACACATTTGTGTAATGCGAGCGTAAACACACAAACACATACAAAGACATACACACACATACATGCACACACATACACACAAACACATACACATACACACACATACATACACAGAGACATACACATAAACACAAACACACACATACATACACACAAACACATACACAATACACACACACATACATGCAGACACACAGACAGACACATAACACACATACATACACACACATACATACACAGAAAAACATACACACACATAGATACAAACACACATACATACACACAAACACATACACACACGTACATACATACACACATACATACAGACACGCAGACATACACATAAACACATAAAAAAACCGACATACATACACACACATAAACACACAAACACATACACACACATACATACACACATACATAGAGACACACAGACATACACATAAACACATACACACATAGACATGACCCGGCTTCGCCCGGGACTTGGATCCACCACGCCCGGCCGCCTTTGTCTCCCCAGTGCCGATGTGAAAACGCCACACCAGTTACTCGTTTTGAGGCTGAGTCCCTCCCTCGCCACTCTCCCTCCCTCGCCACTCTGCCTCCCTCACGACTCTGTAGAGGACGTGAAACTTTTATGAATTTACCTTAGATTCGCGTGGTGGGTGTCGAGGCCTAGCACCGTGCAGAGCCTCCCGCCTCGCCTGATTTTCCCACCCGGCTGACGCTGGGTACGGGTGCCGGTCCCCCCCCCCCCCTAGCGCTCGAACAATACTGAGTAATGGCTATTATTTAATTAATTACGGAGCCTATGAAAGTGGCGAAGGCGTGGCTAGCCGTTGGCAGGGGCAACTGCCGTCCAATGAAAGTGCAGCCCTTGGCGAAGGCGTCGCTAGCCGTTGCCAGGTCCAATGAAAGCGGCGAAGGCGTCGCTAGCCGTTGGCAGGGGCAACCGGCGTCCAATGAAAGTGCGTATGGTCCGGAGACACACAGACACACAGACAGACAGATAGACAGACAGATTCGCGATTTTATATATATAGAAGATTACGATGTTGAGCTTACTCCTATGTGTTTGTACAATCCATTTTCTCACGAGAAATTGTGATCAGAGTAAAACTTAGAAACTACCTGTAATAAGCTATGCATTGTGTTTATCATGGATTAGAATTGCCCAGACCGTTGTAATGTATTGATATTACTTTTCCAGGTTTATGTAATCAATTACTCACATAACTGAGATGAATAGCACAGATAAGCTGCACAGCACACGATAATACAACATGCCTTATGTGTTAGTAATGACACTGTTATATTTGATGCCTTTATATTTTTGTATGGATGTGAACGCCGCATCAACACCGATTCTAAACGGGCAATTTCAGATCAGTAAACAAAAAAATCTGAATCTGTTCGACAAACTTCCAATCTCGAGGAAATGTGACACAGTTTTAGGTACGAAAAGAGACGTGGTAAAATTCCAAATTGGAAGCCAGTTGGTCAAACGGCTTAAGCGTTATGGATCCTTGAAGGTTTGACCTTTTTCGGGTTTCCGAGGGGTCAAGTTCAAAGTTACAAGCCATCGTTCTCCTATGCAAAGCCCTTTTCCAACCGTGTAAAACAAAAAAGCGCAGAAAATATTTCCATAAAAAGTTAATGAATATTCTACGTGGTTACAAGTTTGTAAATGGTTGTTGGAAAGCTTTCCAATTGTGTCTTAGTTTTCTCTCTTGCTCCAAACAAAAGGGAGTGGTGGCTTGTAACGTTACTGTACATCAAACCTGGCATCAAGTGCAGTGAAATAATTTGTCATGAATCGAAATGCAGTTGCGCTTGAACCCAAGTCTGCTGCACGGAATGTTGTTCGCAAATGATGAAATGATGGTGACTAATACTTTCACCGGGATATATTGGCTCCGCTTCGTACATTGTGTACAGACGGGGATGGAGACTGTTGAAAATCGGTCAAAGATATCCTGACGTTCCCACGAATGAATATTTACAAGTTTGTATCGGTCCATGAAATATCTGTAGAACGTAGCCATGGCGTAATGGGTGAGCACACTCGTCCTTGCAATCCAGATGTTTCTGGTTCAGTCTCCCACAGTTAAAAGGCAAGTTTAACCCCCCCCCCCACCACCACCGTGTAAATGGGTATACCAGTTAATCCACTGCTCTTCATTGCAAGGCCCACAGGGGCGACTGGCGGACCCTGTTGGCCTTTAATGCGAACATCGATGTGTGACACCCAACAACAACACAACACGTGACACACCCCCCCCCCGCACCTCACACCGATGATGTCGTATCGGTGGAAGTGGGCCCCTCTCTGGAAGTTGGTGAAGAACACTGGCACTCAACACGAGTTGTGATTTTACAAAATGCAAACCACCTGTGGCTTTTGCGCGTCTTTTCTTGGGTTGTTCGGCACGATGTCAGACGTTTCACTCCATGTGCTGCGACCTTGTTCGCACAAATGCCTTAATTTTTGTTCGCACTTGTAACTCGATTTAAAGCTTTCGTGACTGCAGGGATTCATCTTCTTGGTTCTTTCGGTAAAGCCACGTAGAAGGGAAATGATAAAAGAATAAAAATAAAACATAATAAAATAATTCTCATGACGTTTCGGCCACAACGCAAGCAGCCGTCTTCAGGTGACGAAGCAGCCGTCCTCAGGTTGACCTGTTCTTCACCTGAGGACGGCTGTTTGCGTTGTGGCCGAAACGTCGTGAGAATTAGTTTGTTATTTTTATTATTTTATTATTTCCCTTCTACGTGACTTTACCGAAAGAACCAAGAAGACTTGTAACTCGCTTATGCAAAAACAATTTCAGGTGACTGGACGATGTTTGTTCAATATTGTTGAAGAAAAGACATTACTCCTTTTGCACGGATTCTCTTGAAGTGTTTGAATGTTGCGTATTAGACAAACGTGGACACTCACTCGTCGTGGTGGTGAGATGCCGGTGAACTGCAGAGGGTAAGAAGGCCGAGGTGTGATTCATTTCCTTTCAAGGAACATCAGACGAACAAGTGCAGTCGGCTGTCGGTGATGTTGGGGTTAAGGAGGCGAGGGGAGGCCTGGATGAAACAAAAAACAGACGAGGCTTAACACGTGGAATGTGGCGTGTTTTTATGGTTTGTTAATCGGTTTATTTAGTGAGTGAGCGAGCACCAAATAGTTATTAAACGAGCGTGGGTGCAAAGATATGTTTTTCCCCAAACCCCCCCCCCCCCCCCCCGTGTACAATCATCCGACAGATAATCGGGATTTAACTGTCGACGCTTAAAAAATAACAAGAGATTACATCGTGTAAATTGCTGTCACACGGCACGCGTTAAAACAATCGCCACCCTTTGTGAAACCCCAAAAAATAATAAATCCTGCCTGCGTCAATGACCTTTAACATTTCTACATTTTGACTTAAATTTCGTGACTGCAGGAATTCATATTCTTGGTTCTTTCGGTAAAGTCAAGTAGATATAAAATACAAAAAAAAAAAGCAAAAAACCAACGATGTTGCGATCGAAACGTCGTGGGTTTTTGGCTTTTATTTTTAATTTATTTTTAATTTATTTTAATTTTCTATCTACGTGACTTTACTGAAAGAACCAAGAATATACATTTCTCAATCTTGATTCAAAGCTTTCGTGACTGCAAGAATCCATACTCTTTGGTTCTTTCGGTAAAGTCGCGTAGGTAGAAAAATAAAATAAATCAAGACGTTTGGCCTGCTGCTGATGCTTTCCCACCTGATGATGGACGCTTGTGTTGCGCCCGAAACGTCGTCATTTATTTTATTTTTCTACCTACGTGACTTTATCCGAAAGAACCAAAGAGCATATATTTCTCAATTTCCTCTTAACCACCGCGGCGTAAAAGTTCGATCACCGATTCCGTCGCTCAGTCTTGAGCTGGACAGGTGGCTCTGCATTCCGGCACCGAGCGAAAATGTTTTTTTCAAATGAAGCGAAATACCAAATTTGAGGTGCTACTATCTTTTGGTGCAGTTATTGGTGACTCAACTGGGGCCTTTCGATTTAAAGCTTTCGTGACTGCAGCAGGGATTCATCTTCTTGGTTC